CTTGCAGAGGAACGGTCCGCCAGCCCCCAGCAAGGAACGATGGGCGACGTTCCCGGCAGTCAAAGCACCAGCCCGGCTGGTCTCACGCTCTCACACAAACCAGGCCACAGCCACAGCCTTGCAGGGCTGGTGCCAACATAAGAGATGACAACTTCCCGACGGGGACAGCTCCAGTCACAGCAGGCGAACACCAAGGTCTCTCCCAGAGGTGCACACAACCCTCCCACCCCACGGCCTGCCAAGCCGCATCCCAGGCCCGGGCACCTCCGGGCAGCTTCTCCTTCTCGCCAGTGGACAGGCCCAGCTGCTCAGCCAACTCCTTCTGCATGGGCCCCAGCGTGTCCTTGTAGGGGCAGCGGGTGGTCCAGTGGTCGCCCTTGCAGATGCGGCAGGACACGATCTTCTGGCCCTTGAGCTTGTTCATCGGGTCCTCCTCTTCCTGGCAGTTCAGATCCTGGGTGGGAGGTCAGCGGAAGCTCAGAGCGAGGTTGCCACGCCCTGGCCACCACCATCATGGCCACCGGGCCTGCCCTGTTGCCCCACTCACCTCTTTGCTAGTGATGAACGTCATGGACACGTCGTCGCTGACCGTGGTGGTGGCCACGTTGGGCCCTGGTGGGTCAAACTCTGAGTTCCCAAACTTCTTCCAGTTCTGGGCTCAGGGCGGGATGGGGGACAGGTAAGGGCAAGTGGGACCCCCTCCACTGGCACCCCAGACCTACAGTAGCCCCCTTCAGGGTGCCTGGGCCTTGAACCATATTCTTCACCCTCCCGAAAAGCCCCCCATAGCAGTGACAGTGATAGTTCCTGTTCCCTAGTGGGTCCCACTCCTAGCATGTGTCAACTCCTAGCCTCATGCTGGCTTAGGAGGTGGAAATGGCTCTCAGCCCCAAGTTCCAAAAGAGAGAATGAAGGCCCAGGGGGAAATAGCCCCACAGTTAAAAATTCCTGGGGGACCCATGAAAGTAGCTGGGCCAGCTCCCACAAGGAAGTGATGCCCAGGGGTGCACAGGGGTCACCCAGACCGTGAGGGCCTTGAGCTAGTTAAACAACCTAGGCCTCAGCTTCCTCCCCTATAAAATGGGGACCACAAATGCTCGCCATCTCCCAGGACAGCTAGGGGGATCAGATGAGAGAACACTTCCTGCAAAGCACTTGGCACTGGGGTCTGGCACAGAGGAAGTGCACAGAAAACTGCCAAATGCATTTAAGGCTATCGCTTCTTCCTAAGCCCAGCCCAGTTAAATGGTAGCTGCTATGACCACCTGAGGGATGGAGGGCTTGGCTCTGTTCCTCCAGGTAAACAAGCTGAAAGGAGTTAAGAATCTAAGCCCACCCAGCTTCTGCACCCTGGACTTTTCAGGATCCCCAACAGAGCACAAAAACCCTTCAACCTAAGCTGTGCTCCCAACACAACAGGGACAAAGACTTAAACCCCGCTTCTAAAAATAAAGGTATCAGAAAAAAAGGATTCCTAAGTCCTCTGAGTCAGCCCTGAGACAGCTCCCAAGACAAGGGGAGAAGGATCTCACCTTCCTCCTTGCGACAGCCTTTGAGGCCTTCCGCGTCTCAATTCTGAAGGTGCGGACAATCTGTGGATGGGAGGGGAGAGGCTGGGCCTTCCTGTATCTCAAGGCTCCTGGGGCCAACCAACCCAACCCACATGCCATCCCCTCCCGGCCCAAGTGCCCCCAAGCACAAGGACACCCACCTCCTCCCCCAGCCTCACCTTGAACTTCTTGCCATCCTCATCTATCTTGTACTCTGTCACTGTCTTGATGTTTCCATTGATGACCTCCTTGGGAGGCGGCAGTGGAGCTGGAGGAAAGAAGAGGTGACGGAACTGAGCCCTGGGTAATGGGGACCAGGCGGGAGTGCCGCTGGGGAGAGGCAGCCCCGAACGGAGCAGAGGTCGTCACTCACCTCCCGGCAGTAACTCAGGTTCTGGGCTGGTGTCGCCAGTGGCCAGAGGGATCCCCTTGAGGAGCTCGCTGGTGACACATTTGTCTACGAGAGAGAGTGGGGGGAGGAGGGGTGAGCTGGAGGAGCGGGAGCTCCCAAGCTAAAATGAAGGGACCTTTGGGATGATGCCCACGCCAGCGGCCGAGGGAGGCGGGACCAAGGGCTGGGGACTGGCGAAGAAGTGCCCTGGGACAGCCGTGCCAGGACGCGGGGCTGCAGTAAGCTCGAGCAGTGGCAAGGATGAAAGCGATGGGCAGCCCATAAAGACACCCGGCGCCAGTATAAAGGCGGGAGGCAGGCTGTTACAACTTCCTCCCCGGAGCAACCGTGAGGACTGGGCGATGGCATGGGGGGAGGAGGGACCGGCCAGCGGAGATCTGGAATTGGCGATAGGCTAGCGCGCAGGGAGGATGGCGCCAGGCAGAGGGTGGCCGTGAAGGGGGATGCGGGATGGGACGGCCGTGCCAGGTTGGAGCAGGCGGCAGTGACCGGCCTGGGGACTGGCCGCGGTGACCTGGGACGCCCCGGTATACTCACCGTCCTCGCCCTCCTCCTCCACCTGGTCGGCCCAGCTGGGCTTCGAACTGCAAAGACAAGTTTGCAGAGGGGAAGCCTCGGTCAGCGAGGCCAAGCCCCCGCCGCCCCGACGCACCCAGGCCCCATGATACCCCCCCGGGACCCCCAAACCGCCTCCCAGAGTTCGCTCCGCGACCCCCGACTCACTCAAAATCTCCAGTCGGCATTCCCAAGCCTTCTCCACGCAGCACGAGCCCGGGCCCGAGACTGGAAGTGGGGGGAGGAGAGACTTCCTGTGCCGCCGCCTAGAGCCGCCCGGCAGCAGCGCCCACAGCGCCCCCTGCGGACGGAGGTGGAGGTGCCGGCTGTGGGAGCTGCGGGGCGCTGGTACTCAGGCTGAGCGGAGCCGTATTCCGTTTACCTTTTAGAAAAATTAAAATGTACTAGTAACAGTAAAGCTCACTTATTGAGAGCTTGCTGTATGTCAGACGCTGTGAGGAGGAAATTATCATTTTCGTTTTGCAGCTGAAGAAATCAAGGTTGGTCCTCCTAGTCTGGGAAGAGTTTTCCTTTTTTTTTTTTTTTTAATCTTTTTAAAGATTTTATTTATTTGACAGAGAGAGAGAGAGAGAGAGCACAAGCAGGGGGAGCGGCAGGCAGAGGGAGAGGGAGGAACAGGCTCCCTGGAATCATGAGCTGAGCCCAAGACAGGCGCTTAACCGACTGAGCCACCCAGGCGCTCCTGGGAAGTGTTTTCCTGATTCAAATGATCAAGATGTCAAGTGACCCCTCAGCCTCCCTCCTTCCTTTCCTTTGTAATATTCTTGGCCCTCTGATATGCTCTTTTCCGCTTACTTGTTTATTGTCCAGCTCTCCGTTTAGAGTATATTCTCAGGGGGAACCACATGGCTCCCAAGCAGGCCAAAAATGAATTATTGGGTGGCAAAACACCTTGGATATTACAAAGACTTGTGGCCCTCCAAAATCAGCACTCCTAGACAAAATCTTATTCCTCAGTATTTAATTTCTATTGTTAGGGAGAAATTAAATGTAATCAGGTTGGAATTAAATTAAATTGGAAGCTAATCCCACTTTTCTCCTTTAGAGGGGCAATAATGTAAAAAGCTTGAGAAACCCCACATAGAAGGTCATCTGCAGAAAGCAGACATTTCCCCGCTTTGTTCGCCTCTTGGGTGCCTAGCACCCACGGGGAGGTCTGCCCATACTAAGTGCTCCATTAATGGGCATTTGGGGCAAAGTGGGAACTAGATCATAAAGGAGACTTTTAAACCAGACTAAGGAGTGTAGGTTCTTTGTCCTGTAGGCTGTGAGTACGGGTGAGGTCACAGACATGTTTTGAATGGTGACCCATTGTGACCATATTTTCTTGTGAGAAAGATTGTTCTGGAAGCCTGTAGAGGGTAGAGTGGTAAGAAATGAATTAGCAGGGGCGTCTGGGTGGCTCAGTCGGTTAAACAACTGCCTTCGGCTTGGGTCATGCTCCCAGGGTCCTGGGATCGAGCCCCGCATCGGGCTCCCTGCTTGGCGGGGAGCCTCCTTCTCCCTCTCCCTCTATCTGCCGCTCTGCCTACTTACGCTCTCTCTCTATCTCTGTTAAATAAATAAATAAATAAAAATCTTTAAAAAAAAAAAATGAGTTAGCAGATGAGAAAGGAGGCTGGGAAAGTGAGCAAAGGAAAGTGTTTTGGCAATAAGAACAAAAGTATAAAGTTTGTACAAAGGGCCAATAAACATTTGGGCAAACTTACTCGAATTTACTCCAAGAAATGCAAAATCTTAGTAACGTAGCAGATGGGCAAAACTTTAAAAATTTGATGTTACCCAGTGGTAGCAAAGATGTAGAGAAAGAGACACTTGAACACACATTAATGCATGAAATTATGCAGACTTTTTGGGTGGAAATTCGATGTTCACTAAAACTTAAAATAACATATGAATTTTGTTTTAGGGTGGCATAGTCATATGATTATATCAGTTTCAGGTGTACAACATAGTGATTCGACAATTCTATACATCATGCGGTGTTCACAAGAAGTGTAGTCACCACCTGCCACCATACAAAGTTATTACAATATATTTTTTTTAATTTTTTTTATTCTTATGTTAATCCCCATACATTACATCATTAGTTTTAGATGAAGTGTTCCATGATTCATTGTTTGTGCATAACACCCAGTGCTCCATGCAGAATGTGCCCTCCTCAATACCCACCACCAGGCTAACCCATCCTCCCACCCCCCTCCCCTCTAGAACCCTCAGTTTGTTTTTCAGAGTCCATCGTCTCTCATGGTTCATCTCCCCCTCCGATTTCCCCCCCTTCATTCTTCCCCTCCTGCTATCTTCTTCTTTTTTTTTCTTAACATATATTGCATTGTTTGTTTCAGAGGTACAGATCTGAGATTCAACAGTCTTGCACAATTCACAGCGCTTACCAGAGCACATACCCTCCCCAGTGTCTATCACCCAGTCACCCCATCCCTCCCACCCCACCCCCCACTCCAGCAACCCTCAGTTTGTTTCCTGAGATTAAGAATTCCTCATATCAGTGAGGTCATATGATACATGTCTTTCTCTGTTTGACTTAGTTCGCTCAGCATAATACCCTCCAGTTCCTCCACGTCGTTGCAAATGGCAAGATCTCATTCCTTTTGATGGCTGCATAATATTCCATTGTATATATATACCATATCTTCTTTATCCATTCATCTGTTGGACATCTTGGCTCTTTCCACAGTTTGGCTATACAATATATTTTTTTAAGATTTTATTTATTGGGCGCCTGGGTGGCTCAGTCGGTTAAGTGTCTGCCTTTGGCTCAGGTCATGATCCCAGGATTCTGCGATCGAGTCCTGCATCGGGCTCCCTGCTTAGCAAAGAGCCTGCTTCTCTCTCTACCTCTGCGCCCCGCCCCCCCACCCCGCTTGTTCTCTCTCTCTCGCAAAAATAAGTAAAATCTTTAAAAAAATTTTTTTTGATTTATTTATTTGACAGAGAGCACAAGCATGAATAAAATCTTTTTAAAAAATAACACATATAGGCCCCCCGCGGCGGGTCGCAGCAGCTCGGGCGGCGGGAGGAGCGGCAGCGGCCAGGCAGCCCAGCTTCGCGAAGGCTCTCGGTGCGCCGCGGCCCACAGGCCCCTGGCACATGCCCGCCTCGCCGCCACGATGCCCAAGAGGAAGGTCAGCTCCGCCGAGGGGGCGGCGAAGGAGGAGCCCAAGAGGAGGCTGGCGAGGTTGTCAGCTAAACCCGCTCCTGCCAAAGTGAAAACGAAGCCAAACAAGGTGGCAGGAAATGATAAATCTTCAGACAAAAAAGTGCAAACAAAGGGGGAAAGGGGGAGCAAGGGAAAACAGGCTGAAGTGGCTAACCAAGAAATGAAAGAAGACTTACCTGCAGAAAACGGAGAAACTAAAAATGAGAGTCCAGCCTCCGATGAAGCAGGAGATAAAGAAGCCAAGTCTGATTAATACCATAAACCATGTCTTATCAGTGGTCCCTGTCACCCTTCTTGTACAATCCAGAGGAATATATATATATATATTAAAGATTTTATTTATTTATTTGACAGAGAGAGACACAGCGAGAGAGGGAACAGAAGCAGGGGGAGTGGGACAGGGAGAAGCAGGCCTCCCGCGGAGCAGGGAGCCCGATGCGGGGCTCGATCCTGGGACCCTGGGATCATGACCTGAGTGGAATGCAGATGCCCAACGACTGAGCCACCCAGGCGTCCCCAGAGGAATATTTTTATCAACTATTTTGTAAATGCAAGTTTTTTAGTAGCTCTAGAAACATTTTTAAGAAGGAGGGAATCCACCTCATCCCATTTTTTAAGTGTAAATGCTTTTTTTTTTTTTTTAAGATTTTATTTATTTGACAGAGACACAGCGAGAGAGGGAACACAAGCAGGGGGAGTGGGAGAGGGAGAAGCAGGCCTCCCACGAGCAGGGAGTCCAAGGCAGGACTCTATCCCAGGACCCTGGGATCATGACCTGAGCCAAAGGCAGACACTTAACGACTGAGCCACTCAGGCGCCCTGTAAATGCTTTTTTTAAAGAGGTGAAATCATTTGCTGGTTGTTTATTTTTTCGTACAACCAGGAAAGAGTGGGATATTGAATGTGGGAGGCTTTGATTGTCTTGGGTGTCAGCTCAACTTTCCATAGATGGGGTAGTTTTTATATCCTATAATACCAAGCATACTAAATGGCAATTTGGAGTCAGTTGTGCATTTCCTATGTCTTGAATATTTTAAATTACTTCTATTCCCATGTTGTTTTTGGTAGAATTATTTCCTAAAGAAAACCACTCCTAGATCTTGGCTCTCCCGGTCAGAATTCTTGTGCTCTCTGTAACATCTTGGTCATGGTAGTCCAGTTTTCCTAGTAACTCTGTTAATGTGCTGTACAAGATTGAGAATTTGAGTATGTAGTGTATATGATATTAAAGTGTGAATTAATGGGACTTAACAATGTAACAGTGTATCAGCATTTGAAGATCTTGGTACTTGATATACTGTTAAGGAAACTTTGCCTCCACATTTTAAGCTGGAAGGTCACTGGAATAACTTTTAGAAAAGAATCACAACTACATGTTTTTTTTAGATTTTCGGTACATACGTTAAGAATTGTGTACAAATTGGGGCGCCTGGGTGGCTCAGTTGGTTAAGCGACTGCCTTCGGCTCGGGTCATGATCCTGGAGTCCCGGGATCGAGTCCCGCATCGGGCTTCCTGCTCGGCAGGGAGTCTGCTTCATCCTCTGACCCTATCCCCTCTCAGGTGTTCTCTCTCTCTCATTCTCTCTCTCTCAAATAGGTAAAAATAAAAATTAAAAAATCTTAAAAAAAAAAAAGAATTGTGTACAAATTAAAATGTCTGTACTGATCCTCAAAACAACCAATAAAAACTCAATTAAGAAAAAAAAAGCACATATATGTAGATATATGCAAACTATTTTCTGAAAAGAAATACCAGACTGGGGGCACCGTGGGATCATGACCTGAGCCAAAGGCAGACACTTAACCAACTGAGCCACCCAGGCGCCCCAATTACGCACTTTATATATAAATCTGTAGTGTGTAATATGTGTGAGATGTAACATATAAATGTATTTTAGTGTGTTTTGCATATCCACTACCTCGCATTCCCTCTTCTAGGACTGGCCTAAGGAAATTCATGTCCAGGTGTATTAAATTGTAAAAAGTGTCCAGCACAGGGCGGCTTAAGGGATTGGAAAACTGGTAACAGTGCAACCATCCTGAACAAGGGATTAGCTAAATGTTGCCCCATCTGTGTGAGCACCACCCCTGGAGAGGAACTGCACGTTTGTGGATGCATAGAAAGACGTTAACTTCTAACGATGGATGTTTCTGGGCATTTCCATTTGGCTTCATCTTTACTTCCTTTTTGGCGTTTTTCTGTATGGAATACTTTTTCTTAAACATCAGGCACATATCACTTTTACAAAAAGTCAGGTATTTCCCAAGGAAAAATCAGAGGCCTCGAGGGAGCATAGGGACGTGGGGAGAACCTAGAGTCCAAGGGTGGATGGAAAAAAAAAAAAAAGCCTCCGAGTCCCTGTCCTCCAGCTCTTCTTTGTAGCACCAACATTCTTCCCACCTCCGGAATTTCTACAGGACACCAGCCAGGACAAGAGCCAAACCAGCTGAGCCAAGCACATGAGGAAGGCCGTGAGGACATGCACCGTATGCTGTCCCCCCAGAAACTCTGGCAGCTCCAGGGCCATTCGTGAGACCTCACGATGTAGAATTCTACTTCTTGGTATTTTCCAGAAGAAACAAGTTTTCCTGTCCACCACAAGCCACGTGTTAGAATATGGACACAAATGGGGGGCGCCTGGGTGTCTCCGTTGTTAAGAATATGGACACAAATGGGGGGCGCCTGGGTGTCTCCGTTGTTAAGAATATGGACACAAATGTTCGTAGCAACTTCATTCACAGTGGCCCCAAACCGGAAAGAACTTGGCTTAGCATGCTAGGGCTGCTGTTAACGGTACCACAGATGGGGGGCTCAAGCCACAGGAATGAATTTTCTCACAGGCCCGGAGGCTGGAAGTCCGAGATCAAGGTGCTGAGCAGACTGGTTCCTTCTGAGGCCTCGCTCTTTGGCTTTGTAGACGGCCATCTTGTCCCTGCGTCTTCACGTGGTCCTTATAAGGACACAAGTCATATTGGATTAGGGTCCACCTTCATGACCTTATTTTAACCCAGTTATTTTTATAAAGGTCCGATCTCCAAATACACTCACATTCCGAGGTCCTTGGGGTTAGAGCTTAAACACGAATTTAAGGGGCACACAATTCAGCCCATGCCACAACTCAAAAGTCCATCAACAGATGAATGGATAGCCAAAGATAAACTGTGGTCCATCTCTACAGTGGAGAACAATATAGCAAAAAAGGAGCAATCTAACACACAGTAACACACATGGATGCATATCCCAGACACAAAAGAATTGATCCCAGGAGATGTCATTTGTGGGAAATTCTCAAACAGGCAAGACCAACCGATACTAACAGAAATCAGACCTGAGCTGATCTCTGAGGGTGGAGGGGTGCCAGGCATCCTTCCAGGGTGATGGGAATTTCCTATGTGTCCGTCTGGGTAGTGGGCGACACAGGCAGGTACACGTGTGAAAAGTAATCCAGCTGCACTCATATGAGATCGATACACCCTTTTTTTTTTTTTTAAGATTTTATTTATTTATTTGACAGAGAGAGACAAAGTGAGAGAAGGAACACAAGCAGGGGGAGTGGGAGAGGGAGAAGCAGGCTCCCCGTGGAGCAGGGAGCCCGATGCCGGGCTCAATCCCAGGACCCCTGGGATCATGACCTGAGCCAAAGGCAGACGCTTAACCACTGAGCCACCCAGGCGCCCCGATTGATACACCCTTTAATGAAACCTGGAGCGGAACAAAGCAAGGTTCAGCCCCTCCATCTCAGTTCTCTTCGTAGCATTTCTCACCTTGTTCATTGTGGATTTTGTCTGCCTGCTTTGGTCTCGAGGCAGGAAGGGGCAGTGTTGGTTTGTCATAGAGCCACATGCGCAGACTAAGCACTGGGTCTGGAAGAGTCAGTGCCTGGTCAGTGGTTGTAGGACGCTGTCTACCTAAGTTTTCTATTCCTAGTCACAGATGACTGCGTGTGAATGTGGACAAAGCCGACAGATGGTGCCAGGGTTCTGGGATGATTGTACTTTTTCTATAGCTTGTCTTTCTTCAAAAACCCCAAACATGCTTGAGAGAGAAAAGCAGGTTGCAGATAGATATGTGCAGTGAGATAGCACTTACCCAATATTTTTATTTTTATTTATTTTTTTTTCAAAGATTTTACTTATTTATTTGACAGAGAGAGACACAGCGAGAGAGGGAACACAAGCAGGGGGAGTGGGAGAGGGAGAAGCAGGCTCTCCACTGAGCAGGGAGCCAGATGCAGGGCTCGATCCCAGGACCCTGAGATCATGACCTGAGCCGAAGGCAGACGCTTAACGACTGAGCCACCCAGGCACCCCCCCAATATTTTTAAAGACCTAGAGAATGCTAGGTTTAAGGACTCGGGGATGTGGGAGCAATGGAAGAACTTGGACAGGAAGAAGACACGGCAGACAACGCTCTCATATGGTTATGTCTGGAGAAGTAGCAGATGGGGGTCTGGGAGGCACACAAAAGGATTATAGCTGGGCCTTGAATGTTTAGGCCATTAAATAACCTGCTGCTGTGGGAAACAGTAGGGCAGTTCCTAAAAAAAAAACCAAAACCTCCACACAGAATTACCACGTGATCCAGCAAACCCACTTCCAGGTACATCTTCAAAGGAATTGAAGCAGGGACACCCAGATATTTGTACTCATGCTCAAAGTAGCATGGATCACACTGGCAAAAAAGTTGAAGCAACCCCAGTGTCTGCTGACAGAAGAATGGGTACACAAACTGTGGTCCATCCATCCAATGGACTGTTATTCGGCCTTAAAAAGGAAGGACATTCTGGGGCGTCTGGGTGGCTCAGTCGCTAAGTCCTGCCTTCGGCTCAGGTCAGGATCCCAGGGTCCTGGGATCGAGCCTCGCATCGGGCTCCCTGCTCTGCCGGGAGCCTGCTTCTCCCTCTCCCACTCCCCCTGCTTGTGTTCCTGCTCTCGCTATCTCTCTCTCTGTCAAATAAATAAATAAAATCTTTAAGAAAAAAAAAAAAGGAAGGACATTCTGACACCTGCTAAGACACGGACGAACCTTAAGGACACTGTGTTCAGTGAACTAAGCCAGTGACAAAAGGACAAATACTGCATGATTCCACTCATAGGAGCTCCCTAGAGTCAAATTCACGGAGACAGGAAGCAAATGTAGGATGCCAGGGGTGGGGGAAGGGGTGGGGAGTCGGTGTTTCATGGGGCAGAGGTTCAGTGTGGGAAGACGAGAAAGTTCTGGAGACGGACGGTGGGGACGGCTGCACGACAGTGGAAATGTGTTTAATGCTACGGAACTGGACACTGAAAAATGGTTAAAATGGTAATTTATATGTATTTTAGCACGATCAAGAAATTAAAAACACATGGACATACTCACACCTGAAGCAGACAATGAGCTACCACTTCACGCCCATTAGGATGGCTGTTTAATTAATGA